ATTAAGGATCACAATGTCCCCATATACTCATCCATCGAAGTCCATTCAATCATATAAGTTATATGAACCATTTAATTTTAAATGGGTTGGATGGAAACTACACCGTTTAAACGGGGTAGTTTATTACACGATGGAACCCACCGTTATGTTTGCGACCTAAGTTGACAAAGCTCTATTTGTGATTGAAGTTTCAAGAAAATCGATTGAAGATTAGATAGAGTTCTATTACTAACGGATCTTGTGGCCACGACTGTAAATCGAATCACATCACATAAGCATGTTTTGTTCGTTAGGTGTCGTCAAGTCAAGGTATTCAAGCGCCTTGACCCCGAACAGCAATACGTTTTCGCGTCCAGACGGCTCGGCAGTCACGTACTACTTTGTAGTCAATTGAATGACAGCTTCAACTAGTGGCAGTTACACATTTGTGGCCGATAGTGGTATCGACGCTTATGGTTATCTTTATAATGCACCATTCAACCGGAGTAATCTATCTTCGAATTTAATTGGGTGTAACGATAACGGCGCCTCGGGATGGAATTTCATGCTTGAAACATTGATAGCGGTCAAACCGTGATTCTGGTTGTTACAACATCCGGCGCTTCAGAAACAGCACTATTCAACGTTACAGTCTACGGTCCCGGTTCTGTGACTTTTACAGGTATGTTTAGAAGAAAAGGCACATTCTGTACTCACTTGTCATTACGATCTTCCGGTTACATAGTTCGTTACGAACTCCAAAGATAAGAAAAAAGACAGGGTGTTCCGAATAATAAAATTCAATCAAAATTTCTAAAACAGCAGGGTGTTTGTAATGAAAGTTGTCCAGAAGATCGTAATGAACAGCGACAGTTGATTTTTAAAGATAAAACCGCGAAATTTGACTCGAGTTTGGAATCACGATGATCGGAGAATCGTAACAATAAAAACAGGAAGAGCATAATGAAAAAAGCCAGGGAATTTGAAACTGTCTTAATGTTTTCTTTTCTTTGAGAGATGTTAAGTGGCTCACTAGTTTTTATTCTAAGATGATACACAAACGACGTCCTGATGAACAGAATGCTTCTTTTTAATACAAAGAAAAAAAGAAGTTAGATGAAGAGATGTTAAGTGACTTTTAAGAGTATTTTTAAGAGACTTCAAGACTTCGTGAGGCTTTAAGAGAGTTCATAAGATTTCACGGGACTTTGTGGTACTTCAAGAGACTTCAAAAGACTGCATGAGACTTCGTGGCCATAAGATGCGTTAGTAATCGAACTCTATCCAATCTCCAATCGATTTTCTTGAAACTTCAATTGAATAATTGATGAGCATCACTCTTTAAGCTTGCCTGAACGTTACATTCACTGTAATTTTCTCAGACGTAGGCGGGAAAAAACAGAAATAAGTCATTTAAGTCGGTTAAGGAAGCTTCTTCAAAGAACACATTTAATATCAGTTTTCGGAGAAAGAGCACTTTAGTATTCGAAAAATTAAAATCGGAGTAAATCATTCCTCAGGTTTCTCCGAAGTTCGGAGTAAATCGTTCATATTTTTTTCACTAATTCGGAGTAAATTTGCCCAAATTTTTTTAAAAGTATGCGCGGCTAAGCCTCCAGCCGTATAAAAATGAACTAAATCGTCTCAAACGATACGAAAATCATTTAGAAATTCTAAATGTACATTTAGAACAACAAACTTTTCCATCTTCACTTGGTGCAATGCCACGCCCAACAATCGGGGCTGATTGTAAAGATTTTGTGAAAGGATGGAATGAGATTGAAAATGATTGTCGTCGACGATTATTAAATAAAACAATCCAACATGTTGAAGATATTATTAATGATTGTAATAGAAAGATTCAGTCTGTTTTTGATTCTGTTGATAATAATAAACGATTAGAGATTGAGATGTTAGTGGATGAAAAATTAAAACCAGTGTTGAAAAAGTCATGATGTAAATTAATGCGTCAAATAAAACCAAAAATAAAAATTACAAAAAATAATTTTGGTTTTATTAATAATAATAACAATAATAACACCACAACACGTTTCCCCACTCAACAATCTCGTTTACCATCTCGTAAACAACGACAACAACAGAAACATAATAATAAAACTAACATTAATAATAATAATGTTAGTACTAAGAAACAACAACAATTAGAACAGAATAAACAGACACAACTGGAAGTACAGAAGCAACAAAGTAAGAAGTCTGTGAGTTTCCAGCCAGACACTTCTGCTGTTGTACAACAACAACAGCAAACAAAAAGGACAAATGTTAGTGATAATATTAACAATAATAATAATATTAACTATAATCAACGTCAAAATCAATCGTATCATCGTTTTCAACGATTCTCCAGGTATAATGACAATGATCATTGTCATCACAATAGCTCGCTCTCGTTCTAACACACAGTTGAGATTATCATTCAAAACACATTTACGACCACTATATGTATGTACGTCCGTCACACTCACTGGTCACTATATGTATGTACGTCCGTCACACTGTCACATGACTATATGTATATACGTCCGTCACACTCACTGGTCACTATATGTATATACGTCCGTCACACTCACTGGTCACTATATGTATGTACGTCGGTCACACTGTCACATGACTATATGTATATACGTCCGTCACACTCACTGGTCACTATATGTATGTACGTGCGTCACACTCACTGGTCACTATATATATGTACGTCCGTATGTATGTATGTATGTAAGTCCGTCACATGCGGACGCCGACATTTATTTCATATGACCCTAGACTTTCAGTCACGGGAATTATGTGATGTCTTTCGTTCAGAGCAATTGATTACACCTGAAATATTTGCAGAAATACAAGTATGGTTCATCTTCGATTCACTGACCCTTGACTGAAAATGGGTTTTTAGCGATGGTTTGGTGTTAGTATGCGCTTAGCTTTTTAAAGGGATGGAGAAACAGCAAATTTTTGTTTATTTATGTGTATGATTGCATTAGATCCAATGACATATGACGTGTTGAAGGACATATTTCGACCAGTGAGTGTGACGGACGTATATAC